TAGGGAAAGCAGGGAACTCACTCCCGGGAGCGGCGCTTGCATTGGCAGTGGAGAGAACTACATGAGTGGGGGTAGAAATATTGGTTACGTCATGGAGCTGGCTGAGCACTGAGGATCGACGTCTCACTGCACCCTGAAACGAACCACTTCTCTTGAACGTACTCACTACCTCCATCTGCAGGAGAGAGAGAGAACCACATCATATACACAATTCAGAGAAAGAAAGAGAGAGAAAGAGTAACAAGGAAGGAGCAGAGCGAGGAGAAAATATGCTTGTGATACTTCACCCGGCAGGAGAAAACAAAGCTATGCTGGCATTGTGTACTAAGGGGTACATCTTTAAACATTAAAAGGATAGCTCACCCAAAAATGAAAATTCTGTCATTATTCACTCCCCCTCTTGTTGTTCCAAAACCATTTGCTGTTAACACATTTTTTTTTGTTCAGTCTGTTCCTCACACAAAGCGGCTGACTAGCTACTTGGAAAGCACATGGCATTTTTGTCCTTTTTGGGGCTTCACAAACATGGGAACCAACATAATTAATTAAGAATTTCTCCTTTTGTATTCCACAGAAGAAAAAAAGTCATACATAAAACAACATGAGGCTGAGTAAATGATGACATAATTTTCATTTTTGGGTAAACTACCCCTTTAAGGATCTGCAACCAGGATCACAATTTACTTAGTACATGGTCTGGGTCTTATTGAGAATAATTTATTGGTGCATAATATAACAAAAAAAATAAAAGTCTTTATAATCATTCATCAAAATGTAATAACTAAAACAACTTTTCGCTGACCACCAAGACCTGTCATATCAAGATCACTTTCCACTATTCAGTCATTTTCCATATCACATCCAATATCACATTCACTCAAGAAAAAATAAATTGGTTGCAAGCGGCGTTTCATATTCACTTTAAAGAAACACGCTGCCTTAATTTGTCAGTTAATTTAACATGATTCTGTTCTGTTTTTCCACAAATGGAGTGTGGACGTCACTGCAGCATTCTTTTGTTTCTAAATGGCTTTGTTAAAATATCAAATAGACTGCACAAGATAAGTTCACTGAACATCACTTTGTAATAAAAGCTAACACAACAAATGGATACCTCTGCAACCACACCACCCCAAATGTTTAACTTCTCTGAAACTCAAGAGCAACTTAAGAGCAAGCTGAACCATGCCAAACCAAAATGGGAAATGCCGTGAGAATATGCAATCAGCTTGCATAAGACCTCATCGATAATTCATCTGCAAATACCCTGCGTCAAAAACACAACACTGAGAAATGGAGGGGCTCTCCTCATTGGAGCCAACGCAGGATGAAACCCGTGATTAGATTAGGCTGACTGATGATATGAGGCCAGCCGCTATAATGTGTGTTGTGTTTTGCCTACTCAGTGTCGAGCAGTGAAGGAATCAATGGAAACCTTGTAAGGAGCTTTACAAGCACTTCAGAAATCCATACCAGGCACTCCAAATTTAAAAAAAGAAATATCTATATAATGCTCTACTATCCCATCAAGTCTGTTCACTGATGGTGTATATTGGCAAGAACATGGACAAAAGAGTGAGTGCTGCATCATGCATGCATGTGCTCTGAGAATGTTCTATTATAAAAGCTCTTTCTAAAGTTACAGTGCCATAAACCAACAGGCACCCCCACCCATGACCCACCTCCTCTATGCCTGCTGACCTTCAATATCATATATGTACCTAGCGCAGTTCAGGAAACAAAAGTAATACTAACTCACAAGTCACACGTGCACCACACAACAGATCCTTCCACAAAGATGCTACTAAGTTTAATAATTTAAGGAACCAGCAGATGACAATTCTATGCAAACCCAAAAAAAGAGAAAAATCTCACTTAAAGTCATGGATGGAGTCCAGACTGAGAACTATAAGTATAAGCATAAGTATAATTCAGTTCAGTATAATTCAGTGTATTCAAGGAAATTAATTAAGCATTGGCCTCAAATCAAACTACTTCAACAATCCCCCCAAAAAAAAGACCTGTGAGCTGAGTTTCCATGAAGGTTGAAAATTGTAGAGTCAAAGAGATAGTGAACAGAAAATGGAAAGAGAAACATGATAGTATAATACACAATTGGTTGATTATATATATACAGATCAAATCAAAACAATAACTACTTTTAATATATTTACCCTATATTGTAATTAAGTTAGGCACATTTATGATAATGTTATGAGCTATGATGTGTAAGATAGGGATGCACTATAAAACAGCACCATATCAGTAGATATTAGAGGTTAATTTTATTGTATCAGCAGATACACTACCGTTCAAAAGTTTGGGTCAGTTTTTTTTTCCTGAAATAAATTAATACTTTTATTCAATAAGGACAAATTAAATTAATCAAAATGACAGTAAAGACAATTAAAATGTGAAAAGGTTTCTCTTTCAACTATATGCTGTTCTTTTGAACTTACTATTAATCAAATAATCCTGAAAAAATGTATCACAGTTTCTACTCAAATATTAAGCAGCACAAATGTTTTCAACATTGATAATAATATTTGTTCCTTGAGCATCAATTCAGCATTTTAGAATGATTTCTGAAGGATCTTTGTGATGCTGAAAATTCAGCTTTGCTATCACAGGAATAAATTACATTTTAAAATATGTTAAAACGGGGAAAAAATCTATTTTAAATAATAACAATATATATTTTTAAGTTTTTACTGCATTTTTGATCAAATAAATGTAGCCTTGGTAAGCATAAAACAATTAAAAGACATTTTTAAAAATCTTACTGACCCCTTTATTTCATACTCATACTCAATATCAGCCACAACATGAAAATAATTAACAGCTTATCATATCGACCAGATCTTAAATATTGGTGCATCCCCAGAGTCAAACATTGTTCAGATCCTCGTCAAATCTTTCCAGCTCTATCAAGTCTGAGGAGCAACATTCTCAAGTCCCATGAAGCGTGTCGGGAATGCGTCTGATTCTGTGCTGTGACTCTGAGCCAAATGAGTTACTAAGCAATAAATTAGGAATTTAAAGGACTCGAGTTACATAATAAAGTGACAAAACAGAGCTCTGAGCAGGGAAGGGGGGAGGGAATTTTATACATTCATGTTGGGGGAAATCTATATGCAAGTGAAGGGTCCCAACAGTGGGAAGCAGAGACAAAGACAGATTAGCGAAAGAGAGGAGGAAAGAGAAAAGGAAGAAGGCAAGGATGAACTAATGTTGGTGATTCAGAGAGGGTCTAGAGAGAGCGGGAAGAGTAGAGGAGGAAACGAAAGGAAAAGCAAAAGAGCATTCTTTGAGGAGACAAAAGTTCTACTGTCTGTGGAAACCATCTTACGTGACTAGTGCTCTAACTAGTTCTACCAGAGGGATTGATTGGTCAGAGGTAAGGGGTCGCATGCACAGCACCTGAGTCTGGATACGGTTAAGGCCTCTAAACCAGAGGATCTGCCCCCTGCGTAGCTCTCTCTCAGCGTGGTCTATCTCCTCCTCATCGTCGGCCAGCTCGTCCTCCGTCATCTCGTCTGTCCCTGGCCCATGGCCTGCCTCCTTCAGACACTTCAGGTGACTAGTGGGCACTGTGGCTATCACCTGAGATGAAAAGAAGAATTAGTTTAAAAGGAGTGGAATGACTGATACTGTATGATCAGAGGCATGCACAAAGGGTGGGTGCAGGGGTTCTCGAGTTGAGGTGTGCTAAAGTGCCCTTTCGGTCCGATCTAGGTGCCCCTGGACACCCCCGGACCACGTTTGTGCCCTTGTAATGCCATTTCACCCTGCCCCTCCAGAGGTTTTGTGCACACCACTGTGTATGATGGTGAGCAGTGCTTGATATACAGTATATAAAATACATCTGGAAATCTGGAACTGATTGAAACTAAATTAGACACACTCCCTATTACCAAAACTCTGCCCTACAAAGATATCGCTGAGACGGTCAAAAGCATATATTGATGGCTTTGCAATCACAGAAATAAATTACACTTTAAAATATATTAAAATAGAAACTAGTTACTTTAAATTGTAATATTACTGTAATTTTGATCAAATAAATGCAGTTTTGCTGAGAATATAACATAAAAAATAAAATATTTGAACATGGAACATTTTTGAACAGTAGCATATTGGATATTGCTCTTTTCCCCATGTTTCATCCTGTACAATTATAATGTTGTGATGTGTAAATTCACTTAATTAACTGTTTTTAGTTTTTAGTGTTTTATTTTGAATTTATTTAGACAAAATAGTCTAGATTTTTACTGTCAGCCTTAACATGAAACTAATTATCAGCTTATCATATCTGCCAGATCTTTAATATTGTCACAATCATTGTTCAGCTCTATCAAATGTCTGACCAATATGTATATATGTCCGAGAAACCACATTCTCAATTCCCATGCAGCTCCAGGATGGTACTATGGCCAAAAATACATAGACACTAATTAAAAGTACTGCCATTCTATCAGATTTATTTATGGAATGAACCACCCCCCTCTTCCCAAAACTCCACCCTACAAAGAATCCGCTGAGACGTCAGAAGTGGCGGCAGCAAATGAGCAAAATAACATTCTTGTGAGACAAAACTGAAAAATGCTTATGAAGCTGGAGTTTGAAGCGCTTAACTTGCAAGATCCAATTAATCTACCAATCTCTCAGCTTCCTGCTGCCCATATTTGGACTGCCCTATGAATATGCAAAATGACAGGCAGAAGGTACCTTAAAAAACTTGGCTTTGAGTGGTTAGACAATGAGCCTGTGGTCTGTGATATTTTCTAAGTATTCTATTAAAAATAGCTTTTAGCACCTTTTACGGGCTTGTCTATTTTGGCTACACCAATTTACGATACTTCAAGATGCATAAAATTGATCATACATCTACTGACAAATATTCACAGTAGGATGAGACTCAAAGAGCTCTTACATCAATAAAATGCTGTACTGTGGAAGAACCTGAACCCAATTGAACACCCGTGGGATGAATTTGGGATGAGCCAGACCTCATTACCCAATATCAGTGCCTGACCTCACTGATGCTCTTGTGTCTCTTAATGGGAGCAATTTCACAAAGCTATGTTCCAACATCTAGTACAAAAAAGCCATCCCTGAAGAGTAGAAGCTGTTGTAGCAGTAAAAGGAGGACTAACTCCCAATTAATAGACACTGGTTTAAAATGAATCGCATGTGGCACATTTGGGTGTGGAGTTTGGGTGTTCACATACACTGTATAATACAATTGAAAAGGAAAGTATATTGAATGCACACAAAATAATTAACATCTATTTTAATATTTTCTTAAAGTTCACTAAAAATATATTGAAACATCTAGGCAGGATAACCACTTGTGTTTATAAGGCAGTCTAGCACAGTTATCAGCTGATGCAATATTTTCAAAATGGACAATTATCAGACATTGGATTCTTTGGGGAAATAAGATGTCATATCCATAAGAATTTTGAAAAATCTTAAACTTGATTAAATACTCGATACCTTCAGTTACACAAATATTGTCTTTCATAGTTGTTCTCCTTATTTGTTCTTTGTGTCTCTTGCTCTCCTACCTGACCCCACAGCAATTCTCCAACTCCCACAAAGAGGCACCACAGCCATTGCTCCACATTGAGAGGGGCACAGCTGAAGGGCTTGCCCCCAAACTGCACAATCACAATCTGCACACAGATCAACAGCAAACAACCAAACATAGTCAACACCTGCTTACTCAGCACAGGCACACAGTACATCAGTTACCCTCTCATGTCACCTTTCATACAACCTCATGGACAGGCCCAGATAGAATTCTGATTTCAAAAATAGTCTGTATAAATCTGTTGATTGGATTTATCGATATAGTTCACCCAAAAATGTTATTTCAAACCTGTATGCATTTTTGCATGCATTTTTCTCAGTGGAACATAAAAGATGATATTTTGAAGAATATATATATATAGGCCTACACACACATATATATATATATATATATATATATATATATATATA